CGATATATAAAGATTGCAACTTTTGTTTTCATTTCTGCATAGTTGTTAATCTCTCTCTGAAATTAATGGTTCTAATTCAATTTGCTGGATTTGCAGAAGGTAGTAATGTAGGAGACAAGGAGTGGTACTTTTTTTGCAAAAGAGGAAGAAAATACAGGAACAGTATAAGACCCAACAGAGTGACAGTTTCTGGATTCTGGAAAGCCACTGGTATTGATAGACCAATTTATTCTTCCAGTGGAGACTGCATTGGACTAAAGAAATCCCTCGTATATTATCGTGGAAGTGCTGGAAAAGGCACCAAGACTGATTGGATGATGCACGAGTTTCGCCTTCCACCCAGAGAAGATAAAAGCGCCAAACTTGTCGAACCCAGAAGCCTTGCTGATCAAGAAGCTGTAAGGAATTATAACTCTTATTAATTATTAGGGTGTGGAGAGTTAGTGTTTTTGCTTAGAGAAATGGTGGAATCAAAGGCATGAATTTCTCCATACAAGCATATGAAATTCAGGCCGTTGGATTTATACAACTTCTGTGTCTCCTTGGTTACATATTATTCCCTATCTCCAATTACAAAAAGAATAGTGAGAAAAATGAAATCAGTGACCACTACAACAAAATTAGCTTTTTATAGCATTCGCTTACGCCATGCATATAAGGCATAAAATGATCAAAATTTAGAGAGAGAGTACTGCATTGAATCTATTTCATTGTTTTTATTTATAAAGTTGGGTAAAAAATTTATTCTTCGTACTCGCTTTGCTGCTTTTACAGGAAGTTTGGACGCTATGTCGAATTTTAAAGCGGAATATTTCCAATAAGAAGTGCAGACCAGACTGGAGAGAAGTCTGTGCCAAGAGAAATATCAGTACTAACCCAGCTGATGCAAGCTCCAAAACATGCAGCTGGGACTCTGATCATAATAACCATAGTTATATTAGTTTTGATGCTCCGATTATTCGACAAAATGAGAAGAAAACCTATCCTTATTTTGGTGAAAATATTGGAAACCAACAATATTTAGGTCATTTCAGCACTGATTCACCGGTGCCACCTGCTGCATCATCCTTCTCCAGTTCTGCGCGTTCAGACTTTAACGACCTGTTAAAGCCCGCAGATTGGGAGGATCTCAGATCGATTGTGGATTGTGCTGGTAATCCTTTCTATTTGTAGAACTTTTATGTCATAGAATATATGTGTTAAATTGTATCAGTGACTTTAATTAGCAGATAAAACATTTGGAGAATATCTGTCTCTATATGTGGGATTTTTACTTTGCAATAATGTATAGATCTAATCTATTTCAATACGCCAGTGTAGTTTATGTTTACACCTGGGTTCTTAGGAATTAGGATTATCAGACTTTTGAACTTTTGATAA